GTTTGTTCCCCCACACACGCTCATAAGTGCCATGATCTTTCATTTGACTTGCTCCTTCTTGCATTGGTCAATCTACCGAAATCCTATGCTATCTCAGGATACTCACCTGCCTCCAAGGGGTCTTTGGCTGTGTGCCATGGGCAGTCATTTCCACCTTTCTCACCGACTACCTCGCGACCAACGCACACCTGGGCGTGCCGGGCGCTACGGCCGTGCTCTTCAGCCGCTCGGGTGTGGTACGAGTCGACATACACGAGAGTCGAGTCCTTTTTTTGTTTGAGACACCCGCCATCCGGCATTATCCGGCATATGTTGGTTGTTGAATGTGTTTTTTTGAAACTATTTGTTGATCTACTGTTTTTATCCAAGTGTATCAAGATTTTTCCACGGAGCAAGCGGATCGAACTCTGAAACGGTTCGTTTCAACATGGTTGTTTGGGTCATAGTCTATTGCCTGCAAAAGCAACCGGTTGCTATCGGATGTGTGTTGATCCTGCCCTTGTACCACTCCAAAGCACCTGAGGCTTTGGTATCGGTTGCTTCGCCGGTACCGCTTGTGGCGGCAAGCTGGGGCAGCACCTCTACAAGAGAGACAAGAGAGCTTTGGAGTGACATCAGAGTTCTATTGTATACTACCCTCCATCCAACAATGGAAGTGGAACCGTGGCCCCGAAAGGAAGACTGTTTTCCTGACCCGAAGAGTCTGTCTTCCACCAAACCATGATTGGTTCGCTCGTTGGTGCTGCATGGTAGATGAATTTCCCTATTTCAGAAATCGAGAGCCAGTGGCTGGACTCCCCAACAGTCCGACAAAGAGCACCCTGCCCGTCTGGCAGAGGGGAACAGGACCGTCCATATCTCCCTTCATCCAGCCAGGCCCGACACTCAAAGTCACTTAATCATATGCAAGTCGACATTGCAATCGACAGGGCCGTCCACTACAAACGATTCGGATCCACCGGACCTTTGCCCTTTGCCCGAGGACTACAAGCGTGGCTCATGGCCATCACCGTGTGGGGTGGCATCTTGACACTCATGGACCGAAGCAGGCGGTAGGATGGTGGTCAAACGGACGAGTCCCAAATGACACTCGTTTTTTCCGACCAAACGGAAGGAATATGTTGGACATGCTGATATATAGACCATTATAGCCACATATCGTCATATAGAACGTCTTTTTCAGAGGTGCTCAGGTGCGAAAACCGAGGTATGGTGCCCTTCTTCATCCTGTTCTCAGCAGCTGGTGCCTGGGGTCACCCATGGCTCTTCCATTTTCTGGCTTTGCTTGGTGGTTTGCTGGCGCCGGTGGCGGGCGGGAATGCCAAAGCCATCCTACTGAACACGGTGCAGACGAAATCCCGCGGGACTGTCTTCGGCGTGTCGCTGGGTTGCTGAGAAGAAGGGATTTGTCGCCTGAGTGTCAGGTGAGGGTTCCCCAAGACTTGTGGGAAGGGGTTGAACACCCACCGGCTTACATCAAGAGCACAAGTAGAAGAGTCTAGTAGAGGATGAAATTGTCTTTTCAGCCACCATCCAGCGTATCCAGCTCCACCATTTCTGCTATCCAGTTCTTCAGGTACAACATTATGGATGACTTGGGCAAAGGCCTTGGTCCAGCTTTAGTCTCTAGCTGGGTGCGGCCACTGGGACGCTGGGACCGCACAAAAACAGCAGCAAATGGACCTGCAACCAGCGTAACTGTGTGGAAAACTTCCCTACTTTCCACTGCTTCAAGGCGGGGTCTTATTGAATTCTCATGCCAAAAAGTGATGTTTGAGAACTGGGAAGTCAAAGGACCGAGTAGAGGATTTGGCGCAGATTTGGATCACTGGTCCTACATTAGAGCAGCGATCCTGCGACGGAGCCAGGGCTCTCTCAGAGGAAGCCTTTTGGTTTGATAGGACGCTTCAAGCATTCGGCCCAGAGGGCTTCACAGAAGTCCGTGCGCACGAATGGCCAGTCACGGTACTCCATTTGTTTGCATTTAGCGGGGAGATGTTCTCAGTATACTGACATTGACGATTTGAGGGAGAAAGCTGGCACTCCAACGCAAACAATTTAGTTCTAGTTCTTTTGTGATATCTTGAGATTGTAGCGCTGCCACAAAAGTCCAAGAACGGATATATATATATATATATCATGCTGCAGCAGATATGCTTCGACTCTGCCAACAAAATCTCAGGAAGGAGATCGTCTTTCATGCTGGGGATTTTGTTCTGGTTGCCCTGCGGGCTTTTCTGCTGGATGATGACGCGGACCGTCTTGCGGGACGACTTGTCTGAGATCCAAGCCGAAGAAGCAGTGGCGCGAGAGGCCTTGACTGTGAAAGACCCAGACGCTTTGGTAGAACATGTTTTGTTAATTGCTTATGTTACCTAGAGAGATTCTTCGTGATACCCCTGTTCAATTGGAAAAGGGCGCAATCTGCTTTGAGATGCAGTTGAAGGTTGCCCGACTGGACATCCGGTAGAGTACTCGTTCTTTTTACTGGTTCCAGGTCCCATGAAGCAAATTGAACTCTCGTGCAGCAACAATTCTGCTGTTCCGGGGTGCACGTTCTTCGATCGTTTTGCTCCACACTCTTGGGGGTCAAAAAACACTACTTGGTCCATACCATGGGAAACGGTCAACTGTTCGATACCTTGCGATCAATCCTGCACCAAGGGTACAAAGCCAACTGGAGTGTATCCAGGATCCATGCTCACTCCATGGTGTCCTTTCCTGTGCATGTTCAGATACCGTGTCTCGATATCCCATGGTGTCTAGATAGGGCTCAGGATGGCTTTGGGGGTTGATGGCACCTATGACCAGTGATGAAGCGTATTTGTATGTATGAGTCCAAATAGGCCCATCTTGGGTCCTGACTATAATTCTGTTGATTTTGAGGTTTGATGGATATCGGTCGAGTGAGTTCTTACTTGACATCGGTTTTCTTGATGGTTTCTTGGTGCGCGTAGCTTCTCATCATGTGGACCCATGTGTGATGTTGTTGCTGGACCCACATGGCCACCTCCCACCAGTCACCAACCATCGCGGGGCATCGGTTCCACATCGGAAGCCCTCACCGCACCATCCATGCCGTCGCTCCCTGTGGCTTCCTGGTTCTACCCCAGCATCTTCATCTCACGAGCTCTCATAGAAGCACTCCTGCTAGGTCGTTCTCTGCCTCTGCACGGTCCTTGCACGGTCCACATCTCATGTTAAGGAGACCAACGAGAAGGGGGACTGGACCAGTTGCGAAGCAACCGTCTCTCCGTGGCTGGGCCGTCCGTTGTTTCACGTGGAAACACAAGTAAGTAGACGGCCCGAGAGCGTTGAGGTGTAGAGTTACTCTGGTTACTCACAACAAGAATTGTCTATATTTCTGACGCGTCAGACATGAAGCGTCAGACATGAAGTCACCCCAAGAATAGGGCCAGAACACAGAAACCGCCTGTAAGATGGATATCCTTGAAGATGAGATGAAGTAAGTGAATGAAATCGTTGCACATTGGTGTGTGGCCACAACTGGAAACTTCTCAACATGTATGTCCACCAGGTGTCATGCTTACTTTGCATTCAATTTAATGTTTGAATTCTTGCGGAAGGACAAATGGCAGACCCAAAACATATCTCAACAGCCTGCATACAAGTACATGCAAGTACATTTCCGTAGAGCGTTTACATTGTGTTTTAACATAAAACGGGTGACTTTTCGCGAGCCGGGTGACTCTTGACTAATGCTGCGTTTACATGCGGCCGGGTGACTTTCTGCAAACCCGGGTGACTAAACCCCAGCGCTTGTAGCACGGAGCCATTAAACCAAACTGTTTGGTTTGGGTAGATAGATACGATTCATTTTATATTATATCATTATACCCATATTTTGATACACGATGATACAAGTACTGTACCTTTTTTACTCCTCGAACAGATCAGATACATTGCTTTGGTTATGGGATTGATCTAATCTACTCCTGCAAAGCCCCATCTAATCGATTTGACCGGCTCAAATGTCCGTTTAGATGTCCCCGGCTTGCCTCCTCCGAGGCCTACCTCTCTCTATTCGTCCTCCATGGCGGACAGTCCAAGCTCCAAGCCCCAAGCGCGGGCCGCTGCAGTGCTCGGACGGCCCATGGAGGAAGTCAGCAGCTGCGACGAATGTTAAGCTGCCGTGCTCGCAAAAGTGGATCACAGGAGGCTTTTTGTAAACGGGCCAAGCACGGCACGGAAGTCATATCAAGTAGAATTGAAGGAACAGGCTGATGCCTGATTTTTTTTGTAATACAAATTGGTTGGGGCAAGTACACATTGGTAATACAGTGATACATACAAGTTGACCAGAGTCAGAGTGGTGTTTGGAACCAGGAGAGAGCATGTTTAGTCAGAACCTATTGAAGGCAGGACAACTTTGTCAGGAATCCATAATACAGCACCTCCATGGAACATGTTGCTGTCAATGAATTTCAGTGTTATGAAGTTATGCCATTTCTTGCAGCTTCATAGGAAAAGGATCCTATCCACTGGAAGGCAAGGGATGAACCCTTCAACTTCGGGTATGGTTCAGGCCATGACTCTTGGAAGCTTCATATTTCCAGGGCAATGTTTGGTTCCATTGGTGCACTGCACCGTCCTTTTGTTCACCGCAACATGTGACCACGCACAGTCTGATGGCACAAGGCCCCATGCAGCAGGGTAACCATGCAGGTTGGCGTACTGGTTGGCGTGTGTTTTCGAACTTGCGCTTTTTGAGACACACCTCATCCTCAGTTCATCTTGATGACCTTTGAGATCTTTCCCTCACTGGTTTGTGTTCACCACTTACTGTCGCCTACTTCATCCTCACAGATCTCATCCAAGTCCGGGGAACTTGCTTTACCCGGCACCCAGTGCGTTGTGCTTCTCAACCAGTTGCTTTGGATGGGCTTGGGTTTTGCTTGACGCGGAACACCATTTTTACATCGACTCGGAAAGAAAAAAACCATCGAAACACTGATCCGACGGCGATCGATTCTGTTCGCAGCCCCGTTTTTCTCAGCGGTGTCACCTGAAATTTCTCTTAAAACCGCCGACACCAAAGTGGCAGGCGGGTGAGAGTGGTGAAAGTCGGGTCGGGCGGCAGCAAGATCTTCATGATGTTCTGGAGTCCATCATGTCAAAGATGTCAAAACCAATTAGAAACTGGTATAGACGGTAGGAAACGTCGTGTTCCTCATCCCGTCCTGCATTGATTAATGACATATGGATGCCCTGGGCATCCTCACTTGTGTTGCCCAAAGAGTGCAAGAGATCAATAGCCGTGGCCAGTAGTGGTAAGTGAGATCTGAATCGGATGAGTTTCTCCGTTTCCCTTGTGATTTTCCAGGGATGGCCCGCCGTGGACATGTCCTTTTGAGCTTTCTGCTCGCTCTCGCCATTTGGCCTGGCCCTCGGATGGGTCCGGGACAGGCCTTGGGTGTAAAACCTTCACACATTAGATTTGTATTGAAAGAAGGGGACCCTCCAACCAATGGATGTTTGATGTGCTTTGAGGTTTTGGGTTGTGTCCTTTTCCAAACGGTCTTTGGGTGTTTTGTATTCTATTTCAAGACACGTGTGCGTTTGTTCGACCAAAGGTGCTTACCATGGGGTCCAAATGTCGGAGGACCATCCTTCCATAAGAGAATGGCTGAATGGGTTATGCACTCCGAGAATCTTCCGTCCATTTGCGTAAAAACACGCGCCAGTCGCCCAAACAAACTGCAGATCGCACGGAGACGAACCAGGGACCACCCAACAAAAAGACTCCCCATTGGTGAAGGCAAGCATCACAAGCCTTCAAGTATCTTCAAGTAGTAGACCAACGGTTACTCAATAAACCGGCGGATGTCCCGTGGACTTTTTCAGAGTGCTGCATCACAATCAAAAAACCCTGGTGTTTCCACCCAATTCCCCCCAACGAACGACTCCTACCCGCACGATCCCCTGCACGAAGGCTTCAGATCCCCTCTGATGCGCCGAGCTTCGTCAACGGACTGGCGGCCCGGGGCGCCTGGCTCCACCGGGGATTGGCCACCTACTAGCGATGGCCTCCAACCTACTAGCAAAAGGAACCGCCTATAATCATAGATGGCCTCCATCTATTCCTTTTCCTAGTAGGCCTTCATTATCAATAGATGGCCATCATCCAACCTGTAATATAACAATATCACCTATATTATAGATGGCCTCCGACGAAAGCGACGGCCACAGCTTTCCCGCTCCGAAGCGGCCAACCTATCCCGCTCCTGGGGACGAAACACGGTGGGTCGGAGACGACCGGTCAGGTCGCTTCGCTCGGTGGACACGACGAGTTCGGTGGACTTCGCCCCGGACACGGCTCGCTTCGCTTCTGGTGGAAGTGGAACCGTGTAGCTCGAGATGACCGGTGGGTTCGTCCCGTTCCATGGTTCGTTCCGTTCCGGTGATGCCTCACCCGGGCTGAACACCGAAGCGAACGACCTTTTGTCAAAGCCAACAGAGGTGAAGTGACCGTAAATAGGACACTACAGATACTGGGGTACCGAACTGGGATAGCCTAGTTCGGGTTTTACAACCTCTGTTGGTGTGGTTGTGTGGAGAGAGTACCCAACACTGTACCGGGACGTCTCGCGGCGTACGCGGCCGCGCGCACTGTGAGGCCTCCCGAACAGCGCTGCGAGCGCCTGTGGTTGCGATGTGCGGGAGTCCAGATGGGATGTGTGGTCGCATGAGAAGAGGACTGGGATGATCTGGGATTACTTCGAATTCATCCTGGGATGATCTGGGATGATACATCTATCATGAATTACTTCGACATGGCCGTTCTTCGCCTCAGACTGGGCCACACCGGTGTCCGATCGCCGTTGACGTCGGTGCCCCGGATCCCGTCGATCGATGTGGTGCGTCCTGACGGCCATGCGTCCCTCGGAATCGAGTTGGACGTCGCTTGGAGGTGTCAAGAACGAATCAGAACAACAAGGGGGGGGTTGAAGTTTGGGTCTAGTCAGACAGGGGTGCTGGGTCCGCCAAAAGGTCGTTGGGCCCGTGGAAATGACTTCTTTTTGTTGCGTTGTAGTTCTAGCTGTTTGAGCTTTGGTGAAGAGATGTGAAGGGTATTTACTCAGCAAATACGGAGTGGTCAAGCATTGACGCTGAAGTGTCTTGCTCGAAGACATCTGTGGTCGCTTGCATGTGTTCGAGGGCTTGAAACATCTTAGACACTTGAAAGCTGACAAGGGAAGCCTATGGTGGGAAGCGAACTTCTCCATGTTCTCTCCATGAAACACCGGTGCACCCGGTTGAACACTCGCGCTGTTCACGAGCTCGCACTCGCGCTGGCACCAGGCAGTCCGAGAAGGTAGACAAGATCGTAGACAGCCTGAAGGACGAGCGGATTTCGTGGTTTCTTTCGATTTCTTTCGTTCCATGTGTTTTGTCAATATTTGTCGACCGAACTGGAGGGGGCCAAACGGATTGCCATGATGAAGGATGATGAAGGTACTTTCGTCCAGATCTGAGGTTTCCCAAGAGCATGATGCCTTCATTGACATGTTTACTAACCGGGGCTGTCCTGTGTCTTGTCGGCTCGTCTCCCCGGTTGACCAAACAACTAGCAACCACCCAGCTTAAGCATACTTAACCAATAGTTCATGATATGTAAAGAGACCACCAGCAATAATTACCACCAGCATGTTCATAGGACATAGGATCTCTCCCATCAAATTCAATTATGGTGGATCAGCTGACTCTGGTGCAACTCCTCATCATCCTGGTTTCTCCACTTCAACCCAACTCCACACCCTCATAGGAGCTCACATTGCTGGAAGCCTCTGAGCTCGTGAAGGCCATCGAGGACGCACCAATCAACGGCGCTGGAGGCCTAAACGGAGGCCTCCCATCCTGTCGACTTGGTGCCAAACATGGTGAACACCACTTCGCTTTTCACACCACTTCGCGACGGGCCCCAACCACTTGGGTGTGTAGGAGACGGGCCGCGGTCGATGTTCCGAACCCTTTCCGATGTCTCTCGATGTCTACGCATACGACGCTACACCCCCGACCGACGTCCGTGGAGATACGGATGTTCCAGTCAAAGGACGACGAAGGGCCACCGTCCGCTGCCACCGTTCCGATCCACCCTGTGTCGACGAAGGGAGGCGCTTCACTCGACACAAGTCGTCCGATGACCGTGGGAAGACACACGACCGCGTTCCATCGGACTGGGCACCACAGTCGGAGGGTGCCCCTCAAAACAGTCGGAAAACACGGACAGCACAAAAGAACAGCCAACCGTTGGGGATGTGATGATTGGTGAGATTTCTCTTTGTGACTGGCGCAAAGAAAAACGAATACAAAAAAGATGAACGGTTGAGAATAGCAGGACAAGAACGTTCGACCACAGCCAGAGGCCTGGACACAAGACACAAGACACATGACTCACATGACCTACCAGCAGCACTTGCAGGTTTCCCGCTGTTCCTGTTCATCTCATCGGACTCTAGGTCCCCTTTCCTTCCCTCGCGCTCTGGAGAGCTCGCACCTGGAGGGTCACATACTGTACCAGGAACCTTCCAGGAACCTCAGAACCTCCCAGGAGACCTTCGGCGTGGATGCCTCCGCCTCCGCCGGGGCTGCGGCTCGGTCGGAAGGGATGCGGCGGGTTTGCGGCGGGTGCGGCGGGTTTGCGGATGCATCACCGGGCGGTGGCGGGTATTGTCGATGGAAGAAATCTGAGGGTCTAAGGATGACAGCACACATTGGAATGACATCTACACATTGGTGTAGAAATCTTAGTACTGTAGTTGTTTGTTAGCCGTTAGTTGATGTCATCATGCTTTTCACTGTTTCTCACCGGTAAGTTGGCTTCCAAGAAAAGGTGTAGGACATCTTGTCCTTCTTGTTAAAGACTGACAAACGCTTTGAGGAGTTGTTTTGGGGCGGACGTGCTTTATTTTTTAAGCCAGATGTGAAGACGAATGAATGAGAGAACCTGCAACAAGCGCAGCAATGTGCCCCGATACATCTATCCTTCACAGTAGTGTGCCCCAAAGAAGATAGAGCTGTTTGATCGGAAGGAAGCTGGGAGGGTTGGTTGATGAGAACCAACGTGGATCAGCTAGACCTTTGGAAAGACCAAAGATTCGCAATAAATGGACAAGTGGAGGGGTGTGTGGACCTTTTCCAGTTGTGGCCTGAAAACGACAGGAGCTCCAGGGCTGTCCTTTCTTTAATCGAACATCCAGAGTTTTAGGTTTTAGGAGCAACTGGTAGTTTCTGGTCTGGAATTTCAGTGGAACCCTGCTTGAAGAAAATGTCCGTGATCTTAACGAGCAAACCGGTTGAACAAGTTCCTTTGTTTGGAAGATTTCGGTGTGGCATGCGGCATGCATGCAGCACATGGGATATCGTGGGATCAGAATGATTCTTTCATATTCCTAGTTACGTTTTTGGGGTCCCTAAGCCTATGCACCTCGACTGTTGACCACGGTTTCTTCATCCCGGCTTTGATGCAGTTAATTCTGATGGAATCCGTCAAAGGCGCTTGACAGACCTCATGGGACTACATACTCTGTAGATGGCTTTTCTCCAGAACACACTCACCGGCCTTGGTTTGGAAGAGCCTTGTCACAGGCTTTTATGATATATCGTTCCAAGACAAGAGAGTTGTTTCATGTGTCATCAAACTTCTGCCTCGGCGAGTGTCCCGTTTGAACCAATAAGAAAAAAGAGAGAGAGAGAGAGAGAGCTTTGGTCACCAGTTGTACACGTGTGCCAAACATTGCCAAACATGCCAAAGGGTGCCATGGATTGGGAATTCTGAGGTTCTGCTAGTTTCTGGCTAGTAGGTTGGAGGCCATCGCTATTAGGTTGGAGGCCATTACACTAGTATCAAGAAGCTAATAGGGTGGGCCATCGCTAGTAGGTTGGTTGCAGTTCTTGCACTTTCAGAAACTCCATCGACTTTTGGGGGTTCATGTTTGCATGCTCAATCCTGGATCTCCATCGCAAGGTGGTCATGGCTGCTCCTGGTGCTGGCGGTGCTGCTGAGGAGCCCATGTTTTGGGGTAGCCGGTCAAAAAGAGGACCTGCAACATCCTGCCACCATGTTGAAGAGGCTTTTCCTTCACGGTTTTAAGGCACGAAGCAGCACCCTGACTCACCTTGTACAATCTGTCGAAGAGCAAGTATTCAAACACACCACTACTGTTTGAACACCGTGCCCGGAAGAAAGCCAACCTCATTCCCTCCGCGGGTGAGAGTCCACACGAGTGCTGTTCACGTCATGAAAGCTTGCAGCCTCTTCAGGGGACACTTCTCCCATCAAAACGCTGCGGCTGCGGCTGTCTACAGCATTCTACGGCCACCCTGAAATCAGGGTCCACTCGCCACGAACTCCGTGGGAAATGTCATGGGTCTTTGCTCGTTGGGGTTTGTCGACCACATGAAAGGCAGCCCAACTTGCTGGGTTAAAACCTCCCTTTGGTATCAGGAGACATGTATCATTTGGACCCCCCCCCACGGGCCCCACAGTCGTTATGCAGGTCAGGGCCTGAAAAAAAACTATACCGGCATAGACCCCAGATAGCACTTCAAGAAAAGGATAGCATGGCAAGAGCGGGAGACAAGCTTGGGAGACATCCCACTCAAAGCCGGGAAAAGGATGGAAAAGGTAAACAAGACCTAAATCATCTTATAGCAGCATCCGCGTCAAAGGCAGGCAAGAAAATGACAAGGCGGCAGCGGCAGCCAAGAGCGAAATCATGAAGGAAGACAAGCTTCACAGACAAGGCGGCAGCGGCAGCCAAAAGCGAAATCATGAAGGAAGACAAGCTTGGGAGACAAGCCGGCAGCGGCAGCCAAGAGCGAAAGCATGAACGGAGACAAGCTTGGAAGACAAGCCGGCAGAGGCAGCCAAGAGCGAAATCATGAAGGGAGACAAGCTTGGGAGACAAGGCGGCAGAGGCAGCCAAGAGCGAAATCATGAAGGAAGACAAGCTTGGGAGACAAGGCAGCAGCGGCAGCCAAAAGCGAAATCATGAAGGGAGACAAGCTTGGGAGACAAGGCGGCAGCGGCAGCCAAAAGCGAAATCATGAAGGGAGACAAGCTTAGGAGTCAAGGCGGCAGCGGCAGGCAAGAGCGAAATCATGAAGGGAGACAAGCTTAGGAGTCAAGGCAGCAGCGGCAACCAAAAGCAAAATCATGAAGGGAGACAAGCTTGGGAGACAAGCCGGCAGCGGCAGCCAAGAGCGAAATCATGAAGGGAGACAAGCTGAACAGACAAGGCGGCAGCGGCAGCCAAGAGCGAAATCATGAAGGAAGACAAGCTTCACAAACAAGGCGGGAGCGGCAGCCAAAAGCGAAATCATGAAGGAAGACAAGCTTGGGAGACAAGACGGCAGCGGCAGCCAAGAGCGAAGTCATGAAGGGAGACAAGCTTGGGAGACAAGGCAGCAGCGGCAGCCAAGAGCGAAATCATGAAGGGAGACAAGCTTGGGAGACGAGGCGGCAGGGGCAGCCAAAAGCGAAATCATGAAGGGAGACAAACTTAGGAGTCAAGGCGGCAGCGGCAGCCAAAAGTAAAATCATGAAGGGAGACAAGCTTGGGAGACAGGCCGGCAGCGGCAGCCAAGAGCGAAATCATGAAGGAAGACAAGCTTCACAGACAAG